TGTCTGTCTTCTCTTCTGTCTTTCACTTGTAAAAAAATGAAAAGTTGATGGATTTCTATTTTGACCTACATGTACATATGTAGGTAAATGTATAGTGTTTATTTCATACAGTGCTGTAGTTCAACACATGAGCGTGCAAGGTTTTTTCTGGACACTTTTTCTATGACTTCAGTTCAGTGAAGCATGCTAAAAATGCTCTGGGACTTGATTTTAATAGCACAAGAGAAGCAAACAGCAGTCACAGGAACAGGAACAATTTAATTGTTGAGATGTAATTTATAAGTAGTTAGAAAGCAATTATGCTAATAAGTTATTTTATTTTGTTTTTTTCAGACTGCAGACCAAATTGCAAGGTTAGTTCGTTAGTGAATAAATCATAAGAAAAAATTCTGTGCTTTTGTTATRCTGCAATTTTTTCACTTATAAAGTGCAATTCTGCTTTATCAACATATGCATGATTACTGTTGCAATTCTAGTAATAAAATAATAAAATGTCTAATACAACAAATTTCCATTGCTCTCATTGGTGGAGAGACCACGCGATGAAATAGTCAGCCCACCACAGATGGGTACTATCAGTGCATAGAGCCAGATGGCTCAGAAAAATTTCGTTGTTGAATAATAAATACAATAGAGAAATTGAAATCTCTGGCATTATGCTGTCAGTGATATATAGTTGTCCTTGGAAACTTAGGATGTTCCTCAAAACCTCATACATGTAGACRTTTGTTTTTTGGGACATCCACAGGCAATTAACACATCATAATGTCCTTGATTCAACAACTCTATTGTATAATTAGTAATTCATTGTATTTCTTGCATACTGTAGTGTTGAATGTAATATTGTGTGTTTTTAGTTTGTACCAACAGGACGTGATACAGCATGTGTWAAGGTTCTAAGAGATCTTGAGCCAGGAGAAGAGATCACATGTTTCTATGGMGAGAACTTCTTTGGTGACGAGAACAGCAAGTGTGAATGCTTGACATGTGAGAGGTCAGTAATGAATTGCAGCAGGKTGAAGAGCTCCATCTATTTTTTTATTTATTAATCTTTGAGAACAATCACTGAAAATTTATAGTGCGCCCATAACAGTGCTTAAATAAGAACAATATGATGTGGTCAGCAGACAATGTTCTTTCTGAATAGGCCTTTGCATAAATGGTCACATGGTACTACATGTAAATCCATCATTCTGGAGGGCTAAACTTGCCCTCTGAGATGTTCAAAACAAAGAAAAGTCAAGCTTGATGGGCTACTAAATCTGCCATTAMCATGTGACTGTTTCATGCAAAAGGCCTATTTCAGTCCTACTGGAGGTTGAAATCATAATRCTGTTTTAAATTTGCTTGTCTCCACTTCATTCTGACGATTCAGACTTTTTCTATGATGGTAATAACCAGGACATAGTAAGAGAGCAGTTGTCCTTCAGTAGCATGGTGATTTACTGTACTTCATCTCTACAATACCAATGAGACAATTTCCATAACACAATAAACAAATTCAATTTCCATTGACTAACAGGAGAGGAGAGGGTGCATTTAAGTCCAAACAGTCAGATGAAAAGACAAAGCAGAAATACTCCTTCCGTGAAACTGACAAGCGTCTGAAACGACTCACTACAGATAGGGGTAAGTTGGTGTGCGAGATTAAAGAAAAGACACACTAGTACAGTGTATATCAATTACAGTGTATACAAAAAAAAAATCAAAATTGGCTTCCAACCTCAACTCCCATTTTTGAAGTGCATGGGATTTTATTGTTTAATACATTGTATGCATTTAAGGTCAAACTAATATATGCACTAGACATAAGCATAGTGACAAGCATAAGCGTCAACATAATACATGTAAACTATGAAAATCTGCGAGCAGGTCTGTTTTCGTTGGGCGCATAAGCACAGCATAAGCAGAGCATTCAATAAGGAACAAACATTTTTCTTGTACTTATCCCTATGCTTATGTTTCTAAAGTTTATTCTTATCCTTACTGTATGTTGTTATGTTGTGTGAGACYATGATTAATCCTCATGGCTATCATGTTTTGTGAAAACCAGAAGGGAATACTGGTCAATTTGTTCTGAAGTCAATTCGTTACCAGTGAATTTGTTACACATAAAGTCAATTTGCTAGTAATGACATTAATCATGTATATTAAATATAATGTACAAAAACACGAATCAACTGACATTCATAACATTGATATTTTGGCATTTAACAAATTGACTGGTAGCAAATTGACTTGGAATGAATTGACTGGATACTGTACCTTAGAAGGTGCCATATTTAAAAATCCAAACATAAAGAAATTTAGGCAAATAATGTGGGATCCATGACTTTTAGGTTCACTAAGTACATGTAAGTAATTATAAATAATTCATATTTTTATTACAATCATTGTCCTGTTATTTAGACTGTGGAAAACCTGATGACATCCTGCAGACGGCAAATCTGACAAACACATTGATTGATGTGGAATCTCTGGTTGATATGGACACTGAAGTCAATCATGATTACCAAAAGAAAAGAAGAAAGAGAAGATATCGCTCTGGTGATGAAAACTTATCAGATCCACCTTAYGACCCTGATAAAAGAATCAAACGAAAAAGGAGGCGAAATCAAGTATCTTCACAGAAACGGAGGAGAAAGTCAGCACCAGCTGTCATGGAAACCAAAGGCTGTGATGTCACTATCCCCATAGCAACATGTAACAATGAACATTTAAACACTGARGTGAAACATATCGATTGCAAGAYGGAGATCATGATGCCGTCTTTGTCTTCCTTTCATCTTCCAATTACAGACATTTTCAAAAGTGCACCCAGTGCAGTTGTCAATGCCTTGGGACATCACGTTGAGAGGTCAACGTCCCACCAACCACAATCTTGCACAGCATGAAATTAACTTAAGCTACATGGTTCTTAATTCTGAGGTGTACAGCATCATCTTCAACAAGACAGCATGTCAGACTACAGGTGCATGAAGAAATAATGTATCAAAACAAAACCTGTAAAAGATAATTATTTTTGTTACAGCAGAAATCGTTGCATCACGACTTCAATGTTCAAAAGAAATCGTTAGGATTCAGGTTTTTCTGCGACATGGGGGCGGAGCTTACTGCGAATTAGCCAATGAATAAATGAGTTTACAAAAAAGCTACACTCCTTAGATTGAAGGAAAGAACAAAATCAAAACAAACTTCGAAACGAAGAAGTTATGGTGCAACAATTTTTGCTGTAATCTCTTACAGTATTTGTTTTGTACTCTGTCATTTTTGATTTTCCTGGATCTCAAACTACAGTCAGTGGTACCTATTCTGGTCCATCATCCAGTCTAACTGGTACAATTGTCTTCCTGGCTTGTTGGTCTAACTGGTACAATTGTCTTCCTGGCTTGTTGGTCTAACTGGTACAATTGTCTTCCTGGCTCATTGTTTTACTGATGCGCAAATGATTTTAATTTCCTCTGGAGCATTTTCACCCTGGTACATTTCATTCCTGGTCCATACTGTACATTATCTCTCTGGATCATAAAGACCTGGATCTTTGTATGACAGGTACATTCTTTCTGGTCCTTTCTGCTTAATATGTAACTTATGTAGAGTAAACCAACATTAGAGTACAAACATTAAATGTGTGTAACACCTTCCACTATTTACTACAAAAACAATAGAATAGAGCATAATTTAGCAGTATTTAGTGGTATTTATGTTGCACAGTTTCAGTGTTTGTACTCAAATCTTTTTTTTTATATAATAACTAGAATCTTAATTTTTCGTGCATCATGAGGTAGAAATGCAGAATGGATATTCTGACAAATGTCAACAAATAAATATAAATCATTTGCTAGTGATCCATAATTGTCTGAGAAATGATTTTTATTGGAGTTATTTTGTTGGAGTTTATGGAAATTATCTGCTATGCATTAATTATTATTAATACTAACTATTTTAGAACTCAGTGCAATTCCATGACTAGCTTATAATTATTCCAAGAAAATGTCTGCTTTAGAAGTGTAATTTTTTTAGTGTTTTGTTTCTCGATTTAATGTCAGTGAAACTTTCAAGTTTTGTGTCCTTATGACAATCTTTTTTTTGGTCTCTTCTGGGGCAACAAAGACAATTATGATAACAGTCACTAATTAGATTTTGTTAGGCTAGGTTCTTTTTCAATGAGATGTCACAAATTTTTTTAGTCTTTTAATTAATAATATTGTTTCAATTAAGGGTTGAGTCTCTTATGATTACTACCTGTTTAATGTTTTTTTTTTTTTTGAACTCACTCAGCATTTTTGTTAAATAACAATTTCTCTAGATTTCTACAATTTTCTTCTAAATTATTTCCCATATGTATAGCTTATGTACCAAGTACATTACAACTACAAATAATAATTATATGGTAATTATTATAATTGATTATTTATTACTGTAATACATCTATTATCGATCTGTCATATGGTGGAAATTAAACATGTATAATTAAATACATGTATATGTGTTGTACTGTATATGTTTTCTTGCATGTTGATTTTAACATACATTGAGGGCACACACCAGGACAGCCTGTAGCCAATCATATTCCAGTATTTAGTACAAGATCATAATGTGTATAAGAACACTGGAATTTGATTGGTGGATACCATTTTCAGTTCCATCTCAGTCCTKATTGGCTTGTTTTATCTGTTAGAAAACCAGAAATCAGAGGACTAAGTGAAACCTGAGAAAGTGTTCCTACTAAGAGTGCTTACGCTATGACCATGAAATAAAATCTAGATAGTTACTAAGTACAAATAGTTTTTATTTAGTGACTATCATTCAACTGGAACAGCTTTAGTAACAATACATTCTGTACACTTGGGAAATCGAATACATAGGAAACAATACAGTAATCACCCCAAAATAAGAACCTAATGGATTAAGAACCTCTTGGCAGAAATTTACCATTTTAATAACTCCTTAAATAAGAACCTCTTTAGTGGACATAGTGTAAGCACTCTATTCCCAAAAAACCTATAGAGTTTCAGTCTTCTGGGAATACAGACTAAGCCTCAATTTTGAGAAAATGCACATTTGTAGGGTTATTCTAATCACAACATTTTTTCATGCTTTCTTTTGTTTTGGGTAAGGTATCTATGCTGTTCAAAGCTAGGTGTATTTTATTCTGATTTTGTTGTTTCTTTTTTTTTGGTCTCAGACAAATAAGTTGAGTTTACAGCTAAGGAATGTCAAACTTTGTAAAAATTTGCTTTGTCCAGTCTTTTAGATACTTTTTTGATAAAAGCAAAATTCAATATGTTTACGTAAATATTATTATAAATAATATTTTATTCAGTCAATTCTATTAATGTTGTACTATATGCAGTTTAAAAGACATACGAGTTAGATTGCAAAGTAATTTCCACTTTACTCTGCTTTTAAAAATTGATGAGCAAGATGCACTTGAATCTAAATCAATTCAAAACAACCCTCCCTTCTACAGCCCAATCTGGAAACTGAATAACATTATCAAATTCATGGTATTGACTGTATTTAAATTTGTACCCTGRTTCCAAAGGTTTTTCTGGGCTCTCTCTTTGTCTCAAAATATGTCTCCAGTGTTCTTGGCTGTGAATCAGAGACGTCAAGTTGTGTAAGTAGCAATTAAGCCGAGAGAAACACAAACACTCTAATAAATTATGAACTTAACTTACAGAATCTGATATAAAACACCTACAAATAATTTAAAAATCACCAAAACTTTGGACAACAATTAAGAAACAACTTGTTTTACAAAAGTGTTTACCAAGTCTTTGTACTCTTCTGGATGAGTATAAAAATGTGAAACRTGKGGTGAATTGTCCCAGCATTTTTTAGTGACATCAATCTTCAGATTACTTTTCCAGTGATTTGAAACTTCTTCAATCCTTGCAGCATCACTTACAATGTCGCTTTTAGAAAACAAGAACATTGAGGGACATTGAATAGGCATATTATAAAACAGCTCTGAACGCTCCAAGTAAATGTCAGTTGTGTATTTTGAAGTGAGTGTCAARTAGGACTGTATTCCATTTTTCATAACTGAGCGTAGAATTGGRTTCTTRGTTGCAGCATTAGAGATTCCATATGGAATTCCATGAAAATCAACAGGGCTATCAAATACTTGACCAAGAATTCTCTCCTTGACAGATTTGAACTTGCTTGTGTTGATAACTTGATTGACAAGCTGGCTGTAGAGGAATCCGCCCACTGAGAAACCATGGACTATGATTGGCTTRTTGTTGACACCAGAAGACGTTAGTTGCTCTAATATTTGGATTGCTGTTTCTTCTGATTTTTTAGGGCGAAGGACCTGAAGAAAACATTTATCTGTGATTTCAACTAGATTTCTATCTAGGAAAACCGTTTTAGGCTCATTCTTCCGGCAGCTTTCTGCTTTTCCCTTCCAATGCTATCCTTGTTTTGTGACAAAAACTTAAGGGCAGACTAAATGAAATGGGCCGTGAAAAGAACCCCAGCCTTGTGCTCATCCTTCCACAGGRAACCCAAGGAGAGAAATAAGGGGCATTGTATCATGCCAGGAATACGTCAAAATAATGCATAACAATGGAAAGATATTTAAGGAATACAAAACAGTTTTCCGTGTATTATACTCCGCTTCGCGTCGTGGTTTCATACGCTTCTCTCGTGTTCTCCCCACATCCCGCGTGTTTTTATCAATTATAATACATGGAAAACTGTTTTTATTGCTTTTATAAAATAACAAGCGCTCAAATATTCATGAGGAAAAAAAGCCGAGAAAAGAAATGATGCGAGCGTGTATTATGCTCTCATCAAACACGGCTTTTTGGCCAATCAGAGCGCGCGTAATATGAAAGTTATTTTATAAACTCGTAGTACTTAATCTAAAAGTAAAATGAATGTAATACTGAATTAGACAGTAAGAGCAAAACTATTTGCTTCATCTAACCTCTGCGACTTCCAAGTGTACGGTCATGATRTCTGCTCCATGATTCTGGTAAATTTCACCATATTTCTCCAGATGTTTACTTTTAGCCAGTAACCAACCAAACAGCACAGCAACTGGTTTGTTATCTTTGCTTGTCTCTGATTGGTTAGGATAATACTGAACTGCATTGGATATTGGACTTCCATGAAATCCCYGTGTTGCTACAGCAACTTTGAGACCATGCCTTGCAAACTGTAGCTAAATCAACAAAAGATTACCTTTATTACAGACTTACCAAAACAATACAATTTTTTATTTTGTTAATGATAAATTTTCGGTTTTCAGAAGAAAAAAGGTATTTTACGATATAGTTTATAGTTTATATGTATTATATGATAAACATAATATTACATGGCCGCTTGGAGATACGAGTTTTCGCTACGCTCACTCGTGAGAGATCTTTTCAACACTCGAAGATAAAATCCGTATCTCCGCGCRCCCATGTAACATCCTCTATTACTTTAATATAATAATTCCTAAATATTCATAGATAAAAAAGAAATTATTTTGATAGACATTTAAAACCGGACAATCTGGAGGTGTCAGCGATTGTGAAATGGACACCCAGCTGAATTGGACTCACAGGTGGTGCCATCGCGTTATTCAAACAATTTTGAAAGAATAAACAAAAATTTTTTTGTTGGTCAGTCTGTTTGGGAGAATTTCGGTGATGGTATTTAGCATGTATCGCTTTGAATGCATCGCACAACTTGCAAGAACAGATGTATATTTGACTCAGACGACCAAGATTTGCATACTTCTTTTCACAGCWTGCAAACCCTGGTTTTATTAAAGTCTCTCTTACTGTTTAAATCTTGTACAAAATCAAGCACCTTTGAGCAAACAATAGCCTTTAAGCATCTTACCTTCTCAGTATGAAATATTCCTCTCGGCATGATCACTGGTTAAAGTAAGACTTATCTGTATTTCCAAACTGGCCAACGTGTGTTTATKTGTCGATCGCTGTACTTTGACCATATAATTATTGCGTGACAAGTGGGGTGATTTCGTAACTTGTGACGGGAAATGACGACGCAATGAGCCGAAAAACTGTCCCCAGGGGCGGACCCAAGGGGGTATGTTTTATCAGTATTTATAATGAAAAACCATAGTCAAAAATGTTTTGCATGGTATTTTTTCATATTCGCATGGTACTTTTTTGAGCAAAATAAATACACCTATTCCAAAAAAAACTTCCCTGCTAGCAGAGGCTTACACGGTAAATTCTGTTTACGTGACAGAATTTACCGTGTAAGCCTCTGCTAGCAGGGAAAAAAAAAACGTTGTCGTCGCCACAATCCACAGTCTCAGAGCCTGCAAAGAATCTCGGGATTGCCATACATAATTACATATTCAGTTTCAATTATTCAAATTTTTTGTCTAGACTGAGAATTTTGAATAACTAAAAGTAAATATGTAATTATGTATGGGCCATGTCAATATCTTGTAGCGAATATCTTTCAATCTCATTGACAGTTTGAATTAAGATTAAAAATGGAACATAATTTTTCAAGGAATTTATCTCACTATTATATTAGTAGTGTTTGCCGCCATTGAATTCAAACCACATAGGCAAATATATATTTTGAATATATCAATTACGCATGGAAACCTATAGAACCCATGGAAGACTGCGGAGTCCTGTGTCCTGGTGACGACA